AATTGACTTAATCGCTCATTACAATCTACCTGATTCATACTAATCTCTCTTCACTCCTTAGATATTAACAACACACTGTCCTTGTTTTTGGTATTGATAGTCCACTAATCAATATATCCTTTCTTCTCTTAGCTACTTTTGGTCTCTCTTCTATTTCATAGCCTTTCTGTATTTCCCAGAAGTATTAGGAATAACAGAAAGAGGACACACTCCCTCATGTGACAGTGTCAAGCAGACATTATGAATTGAAATAATTCATAGATGTTAAAGAACACCAGCAATGTCCATAAGTGTTTTCCTTGATAAAGTCTAATCAAAGAGGAGAGAAAGGAATAAAGCATATTGAATATACCCAAGGAGGAGAGAAAGGAATAAGGCATATTGAATATACCAAAGAAAGCATATTAGTATGGTATTCCACAAAATACCAGTAGGCATACAGAGGTGAGTAGTGGACGTTGAAGAGAAAAGGCACAGGGAAGATTAATAAAAATAGTTATAGGAAAAGCATAGAAACCCTATTTTGTGGTCTAAATAAGGGAGGTAAAATGTTACATGGTTAAATGGTAATAATATTTATACTGTTTAACGTTTACCATTTACCTCCCAGCTCAGTGCTGTCCACTGTCAGGGGAGCAACTCTGGCAGGGGCTGTCTGGTTGTTGGCACAGATCCAGGCTGAAACACCATGCAAGTGCTGCAACAGGACGGTAGCTAGCTGCTACCTGGGGGAAGCAGAGCTGCGCAAAGTTGTACAGTGGAGCTGGTAGGGCTTAAATAGGAACATATGTGAATGAGTGCCGCAGGGTGGGCTGCATGGAGCCATGTGCCCCCTCCCTCCCCCCCTGGCCATTAGCACCCAAAGGGGCTCCTGCCTGCCAGGACAGCCATGCTGTGCCCTGGTCATGCCTCCAGCCTGTGAGTACCTGCAGCCCCAAGTGGTATCTCCTTCCCACTTGCCTGCCTCCCGGGCTCTGGTAGCTGCTGCTTTCCAAGGACTTATAGTGTCTCTCCCAGCCTGGGGGTGTGTGGTGGATGGACATGCTGTGCTGGAACACACTTGGGGCATCCACCTGTGAGCTGAGTGCCCTCTCCCAGGAGCTACAGCACCAGGACAAGCCCTCAGCTGAGTGGGAGCAGCGTGGTGCCAGCCCAGCTGCTGCTGGCATCTGGACTGGAAAGGGAGCAGCATGGTCTCTGCAACACCCAAAGATAACCCTGCTGCTGTGCTCACTCCTATTTAAGCCATGCCAGCTCTGCTGTGCCTCTTTGCCCAGCTCCACTCCCCCAGGTAACCGCTAGTTACCTCCCTGCCACAGCAGCTGCATTCTGCTGCAGCCCAGATCCATACTGTCTTTTGGGCAGCCACTGGTTGAGCTGCTTCCCTGACAGCAGGAAGCACTGAGTTGGGGCTACCACCAGACCCCACCACACTGCACTGCTGCTATCTGCTCACTCCCACACACTTACCACACAGACCCTGTTGTGGCCATGGGCTTCAGTCCTGACTGGTAGTGGGACTCACCACTATCCCGTATATCACCCCTTGGCTCCAGCTGCCCGTATTGCCCTGACTGTTTGCTGTGGGACCGTTTACCCATTTAACAGATATAATTAGAGGAGGTTGAATGGGTAATTTTTTTAAATAATATGCACATCCCTAGTCTAAATGCTTCGTTCTCTCTGTCTCTTTTTCCTACAAGAGAACCAGACACATAGTCCTGTATACGACATGGCTAAGAAGCAACCAAATGTCACAAAGCAAATTAACTTCTTGCTAACTACATGGCACGATTGAATTAAACTTCTAAATGCAACAGATTTTAGAGCCAGGGAAGAAAAAAAAAATTCAGAGAAATAAAACTGAATTCATAATTCATTAGCTTTATCCAAACCCTAAGGACAATGGACACTGATTTCCTTTATAAACTTACAATAATCACTAAATTAGAATATTACTATTCATATTCATAAAAGACTCAATTGAAATGTTTCATCTGCACAGAGATACAATTGTTGAGGCATCTAGCTACTAAATGGAAAATCCAAAAGAGATATAAATGATATGCTGTTTTATCATTACTCTTAAAGAGGGAAAATGTTTTATGAACATCCTTGCAGTAATGAAATAATGACATTTCATTAATAATGAATGACAAGAGAAAATTGTAACTTGCTGATATTATATAAATGTGCAATAAAGGAACACTGGCTAAAACAGTAGAAAAATCAGAAAAGTAAGTAAATCAGTTAATTGGACGTTGGTGTACTTCAGTGTTTACACAAATAGCGTCTGCTACCCTAATTAACTGAAAAAAATTGGCGGTAGACTTGCCTGGTAAGGAAATATCAGAACTACAAAGTCTTAATGCATGTTTAGATTGGTGACACATAAATTTTGAGTGTGGTCAAGATATTTGCTTTGGGCTTCTGTTTTAAGTACTTTCGGAGATCTTGACATGAATGGATTTACAGAAAAGCAAAGAATCCTTTATCAAGACCCACATGAGCCATTATACTCATGAAAGAAAAAAAATATTTTTTCTATGTTCTTTCATTGAAGTACTTTATAAAAGGATACAAGCTTTAAAAAGTACAAGAGAGGCTATGGATTATTTTCATTTTTTTTTAAACATGATTTATTGATTTTATTTCCTTGTAGACTTTGACATCTAGCTGAATAAATGTTTCTTTTGTCCTTACTCAGTTGCAGGTTAAGATAAGGGAGAAGGCCATTAGTTCAGGTTTCTCTTCCCTGGTCTATTTAAAAAAGAAAGACACACAACTGTGGCTATTTCTATATTTAAAGTTCCATAGAAAAATGCTGACTTTCTATAATATGGAAAGTTGTAAATAGACAGACCAGACAGTACTGCATATTTTGATCAGAGAATATTTAGCAGGGATCTTTTAGACCATTTGTATCCATATTTCTCAAAATGTTTTACAAAGAAATTTGGTATCATTGTCACTGTTTTATATCTGAGAAGATTTAAGCAACTCATTGCACCTCTCTCACCTTAAAATTATCTCAAGATGTTATCTGACATTTCTTGCCCCAACAAACACTGAAGACCCCTCACTGAAGCAGTCCTATTGATGATTCGAAGCTTGCACATGTTTAAGTATTGGTAGAATCAGGTCACTGGTCCTTACTGCTGAATTAGAATCCACTAGGTAGGCTTACTGTACCTGTTTAGGGTGTTACTGGGAAGTCAGTGGGACTCTACCCATGCAAAGAGGTCTATACTAGGACAGGAAGTCTTCAGATTTACAACACAACTGGTTCCTGAAAACCACATCTTAAGTTGAAATGTAACTCAGAACCAATTTTCCCATAAGTAACAATGCTATAAATGGGGAATTGATTCCTGAACGAAGGCCCAATACCCTATTTTCACCAAAAATACCCCAGAATTTTGTACTTGATCAATTATAGATGAGTAATATAGGTACATTAATGTATTTATATTGTAAATAGCAATCATATTTATTTGGAAGGGCTTCTTTGAGGTGACTTTGCTGGACTTTTTGAAGGGCTCTTTGTTGGACTTTCTGAAGGGTTCTTGGCTGAAGTCTTCTCAGGAGTCTTGGCTGCAGGTTTTTCTGGAGTCTTGTCTGCTTTCTTAAAGAAAGTGCCCTAGGAAGTTTGGACAGATATTCTCCAGGGAGATGGGTGACACAGCAAACTCATGGCAGCACATCAGATCAAGCATTGTAAAGTCAAAACTGATGTCAGAAAGTTGAAAAAAAGGTGTCAATTTATAAATGTAAGCACGAAATGTTGTAACTCGAAATGTTGTGCGTCGAAGACTGCCTGTATATATCTCTGCGGGATGGAAGTAAGAATATCCACAGCATTTTTAATCCAGGGAACAGTGTCATTCTAGACATCCCCTGTCAATTCCCAGGTTCTTCTTTTTATAAAATTGCCTCAAAGTAAATTTAGCTTGCAATTGAAACTGTTTTGAGGCATGCAAGGGTCTACATATAAGTTATGATTTGTATATTTTACAACTGGATATTTTACCAATTCATTTTCCAAGTACAGCATGAGGTCTAACAAAATTAATGCTTTTGACATTATACTGTGCTGATCTTTTACCTTAGAGGTAAGATAGCACTGACTACAGATGTGTCCATCTGTTTTATCCTATTTAGTAAATTAAGACAAAAAATCAGAAGAAAAAAATATAAATTATAAGTATTTTAATGTTTTGTTTATAATCTTTGTTTAGTTTTACATTACCAAAAATAACAATAGCAATACTAAACCCATTGGAAAATTACAGAAAAAAAATACTGTCCGTTAATTTTAACTTGGTGCCAACTTTTTTTTTGTCTGAAGTCAAAGTGTCATTTGAATATATTAAAATTAATGTTTTGAATAACATAGCATGATTTAAGTTACAGTGAGGTGGTCATTCAAGAAGAATATATATTTATCCAACTTTCTTTGGAGAAGCAATAGTAACCATAGCCTTTCACAGGTTGTGGCACAGAGCTTTAACAACAGGGCTTAGTCAGGTAAACTGACACTTCTAGGTTAGAAGTAGCCAATGTTTGGCAAAGACCTATAGTGCATCTACCAGCCTGGGGGTGTGTGGTGGATGGACGTGCTGTGCTGGAACACACTTGGGGCATCCACCTGTGAGCTGAGTACCCTTTCCTAGGAGCCACAGCACCAGGATAAGCCCTCAGCTGAGTGGGAGGAGTGTGGTGCCAGCCCAGCTGCTGCCTGCATCTGGATGAGGAAGGGAACAGCGTGGTCCCTGCAACTCCCAAAGACAGCCTTGTTTCAGCCACCTGTGGAGGGTTTGGGATTGAGAGTATGGTCGGGAGTAGAAAGGTAAGAAAGGTTTATTGACTTAATAAAAACACAACTACGCGTATTAACAAAATAAACAATGACAGATGAAAGCAATTCACATTGGCAACTTATTGGCAGTTTTCTCTGATGCCTGATACACAGCAAGCTTTTTTTTTTTACAAAGTTCAGAGAAGTTAGGCGTCCCCAAACAGCGTTGTCTGAAGGGTACCGGGAATCTTGGAATGCAGTTCTTGGGCTTTGGGTAACAGCTAACTAATTTTTTTTATAGAGATGTATTTTTCTTTTGAATGGTTTTTAGATATTTTAGTTAATTTAAAGCTTTTGAATGGTTTTGATAATATATAATTACTTAGATTTTTTTTTTTTACTTTAATTGTTTTTAGACTGATTAATAGCAGTACAAGCCTTGTATTTTTTTGATAAGGTAATTTTAATTACACCACAGGGCTTTATTACTTTAAGTCTGTGTTAAATTTACTAGGCCTTACTTTATACAAGGCCTTACTACATTTTAAACTTTAATTAGGCTTTTAGCAACAACATATAGCTTGCTATTTAAACAAATACAGGAAAAAACTTGGTATAATTTTTATAGAGCCTTCAGCAAGCACTTTTATTACACAGGCACACTTTTTAGCTGTTACACTTTTCCCCTTCCTTGCTGAAGTACTAGGATGGCTATAATTGAGATGTTAAAGCCACATGTGTTACATTGGGAAATTGGGAGGGATTTATAAATGTAACTTGAATAGCATGAACAGATTTATGGCAACAACCATTAAAACACCATTCAGTTGTTGCTACTAGGGCAATGTAAAATATTATGATGTTTAAGATGGTTAGTTACATAGTTGAGGTGGCACTTGGTGACACACAAATAGTATAGATTACATTATACCATTTACAAGGTTCGGGCACGTTGACAGCTAGATTGATGATTTGCTTACTTTTTTGAGTAAGGAGAGTTAACTGAGTGTTTTGTCAAGCTTTTGCTTTAAGGCTTTGCAGCTTATTTTTTATTTTATTTTAGTTTTTTAACTGTGGCATGTTTATATTTGATACCTATGAAGTAGGTATTGTAAAGTGGAGAGGTATAGTTTTAAAGGAAATTTTTGGTCATTTTAGGGTAATAGTACGGTTACTCAATTGCAGTAGAGAAACGGCTCCACTTTTGGCTTTTAAGCAACGTGAATTGTATAAAGTTTAGGTGGTATTATTTTTATGCAGCAAATGACTTGTTTTTTTTTAACAAACACGTTGTTCTGTTGTTACATATGACACATTAGGTAACTTGTATACACAGGTTATGTTAGGTGGATTGAGAGGCCAGCTTTTTTATATAGTCTTTAATTTAATTAATGTGTTACTAATTTGAACTAAGGGGGACTGTGTTACATACTGAGGGCCATTGGGGTAACTATTTTTTTATATGGGGTGATGCAGATTTTAGTTTTAAAGGCATTCTCCTCCTAGCTTTGTGTTTAGCAAATAAGTAGTGGTTTAGTTTGGTTTGTTTGTTTTTTTAACCCCCTGTACTAGGAATTGATATTTTTCTTTATTACAGCTTTTTCAAGTGGTAATTTAGGGACTTTGATAGGGGTATTTTTTTTTAAATGTTGCAGGCATTTCATGATGCTTTAAGCCAGGGGGCCATTTTTGTTTATTTTTAATGTTGTTTATTACCTGGGAAAAATGCATATTTAATGATAACTGGACTTGTGCAGATGCAGTACTTTAAGTTTGATTTTTGTTTGCTTTAAAAGCAGTGTTTATTATGACACGGGTAAGACGGACTGTTTTTAATTTTACATTAGTTAACAATTTGTCAGTGTGCTTTAACTTTTTTTTTTTTTTAGTATGTTTTTCTTAGTGAGTAGCCCTACTGCCTGTCAGAGATTGGTTACTTTTTTAGTGTTTTTTGGGGATTTATTTAAGTTTTATACATTTATAGCCGAGTTAAGTCTGTTTTAAAGATAACCTGGAGTATTCCTTTGTCTGTGGGACTTAAGTGCACTTATGGAATGGAAAATGACTGGCTATTTCTATTTAAAAAACTTTTTAGCTACCTGGGCTCCTGCTGTAAAGTTTTCCTGCCAAACAGTTTGGAAAAGTAGCTCGGACATACCATTGTTTTGGTTTGAATGATACTCGAGTAGTGAACAACAAAACATTTAGGAAGGTTGGGATTTTAACTTGTGACCTCCACCAGGGTGAGAAGTTATACATGGGCAGTGTTGGGGCCTCCCGTGGGGGAACGGCTAGAGATAGTAGTGAACATTTCGCTTTTTTATAGATTACATGTATTCTTTTTTGGGGGGGGGCAGGGGGGGGCGGAGCTTGAAACCATGCTTTACCTCCCAAAGAGCGAAAGAGCTTTTACTGTTGCTCATGGGGATGATGTTGTATTGGGTTAATGAAACAGCATTATCCTGGTAGAATTATAGCACTAATTTGCTTTAGGAACCTCACTGGTATGAAAGGATGAGGATAAGTAGTGGAGACTTGCGGATACAGCTTTTTTTTTGGTTGTATTAAAGTGGGTACTATTTTACCACACCTCTGTGTAGGTATGATTTACAAATTATGTAATAACTTTGTTTTAACTTCTAATGTGCCTTCTTGCCTGGTGGGCTTTACACCATCACTGGAGAGTGTTGTCAGTTATAGGGATGGGAGGGGGCAGATTTTCCTATAAACGCAGTGGTCTGAGAGGCTGAACAGATGCAGTATGTACTATTGGGGACACAAACTCAGGGACGTTGAGCTCAATGGGGGTCTCCTTAGGAAATATGTAACAACAAACTTCTAAATGAGCAGAGTTACAACAATCCCCTCCCCTCCTATAGTTAGCCATTTTAGCCTTCAGGTAGGGAATGAACCCAAGATAATAACTGGTGCCACAGGTGCACTGACAGTTACCACCTTGCCAGTTAAGTATTTTGTCTTTTTTACTTAGAGACTAGGACTTTACTTGCTCTGGGGTGGCCGGTTTCTTCTAGTATGGATACTGCAGCTGGATTACATGAAGATTATTTGAACGCATTTCCGGGGGATGCTTTTCAGGGTTAGGTAACTCTTTGAGGTTTTTAGGAGCAAGTTCATTAATATCTAGGTAATAAGAAGGATAGTAGACATGCTTTATTTAGGAAAGACAATAAGGCATTAATAAAAAGAGTACATTTATAAGAGTCTACCACTTAATGATGCCAGTCAATTTAGACCAGTGACAGAGCAGGACTCGTTTTTAGTGGCAGGCTCAATCAGAAATGGTTATAGCTGTACTTGTGGACAGATTTAATCTGTAGGAACAAGACAATAAGGAGCATGGCTCCCGTTAGATAAATTTGACTTAAATACTTATGATGTATTATGTATACCTTTTGCTAATAGTGTTTCCTTTTATTTATTTCCTTGAGGATTCTTCACTACTACTTGATCTCTTGCTTGGAGCTTTTCTGGGTTACCACCCCTAAATTGCTCTACTGCCAGCTTGTGGGGGCTACCCAATCCAAAGGCATGTTGCATGGGGCTGCCTCCCAGATGGGTTCAGTTATTGGCTCAATTGATGGCTTGATCTAGGTGTAAGTCCCAGTCTTTCAGAGCCGGGCCAGCGGCTACCCGCAAAATGCATTTCAGGATGCTATTGGTTTATTTTATTAAACTGCGGAAGGAATGGGATGTGATACGTTTATAACATGCTATGTTTCGCGGTTCAGTTATACACAAGATGGTTGCGGAAGTGAGGGCTATTATTGCTCTGTAGGTGGTGGATACACAGCTAGCAGAGTTTTCAGTGCTGCACAAGTGTTCTGGGCTGTAGCTCTCGCTGAGCCGCAGGCAAACGTTATTTTTGTGACAACTTTTACGGTTACAAACACGTAGTGTAGCAACATGTTTTTGATACTAATGGATTTTTTCCATGCAGGCTTATAACTCTGGATGCTTTTTGTCAAGGCTGGTAGTGATGGGATGGCAGCAATTAAGGGGTCAGTATTAGCATTTAAAGCTTGAACGTTAATAGTTAACTGCCACCTTCCAATTGGCTTGTGCACTGGCCACACTAGATTGTTATACAGAGAGTGGGTTTGAATAGTAGTCTTATTTTTTAACTGCTGGCTTGTAATATACTGAATAGTTTGGGTGGCCTCGGGGAGAGTTTAATACTGGGGTCTGTGTATTTTTTTTTTATGGGAGGCAGGGTTAGTGGGATTATGCTACATCGAGTTACAGCTGTTATAGCCATTTCTTCTGGTTTTTGGTGAGGCACTGCACACTTAAACTGCTAATTTTTTTGTTTAAGGGCAAATTGCTGTTCTTTTAGTATATTAAGTTTTAGTAAGCTTGGTTTTCCTTTAAGTAATACTGTGGCTGTTGTTACCTTAGAGCCATTAGGTAATGCAAAGGTTTCTTGGACTAGATGTCCTGGTCGTTTGGTGCCTCTGACTTTAATTACTTAATAAGTGTTTAGTTTTTTTTCCTTCTTCCAATTTGTGGAATTTAACATGTAAATTTGGGTACTAGTGTTTAATAGTATATTAATTGACTTTTTACTTAATTGAATCTGTACAGGTATTTGAATTAAGGGGTCAATATTAACTTTAGATACTAGTCTTTGGCTTGTTACTACCCCCATTGTGGCTTTTTTTGGCAGGGGTTGGGCTGGCTGGATTCTCTAGGCCATGTGATTAGGTGGGGTAAAGGCTGGCAGCCCTGCATGTAACTGGGAAAATGTTGACAGTTTTGCCCTCAGGGCAGAGAATCTCTCTGGTGACACTGTTGGTGGCACAAAAGGCTTTGCTTTTGGTTTTGCCCTTTTGGTACAGTGTTTAGCCCTCAGCCCTTGCAAGACATTGATGGGTAGTCTATTGATTTGCACTTCATTGAAACAGGCAGCTAACAAGTCTTTCCACATTTTTGCTTGCGGAGTCTTAGGTCGGCCTTTTCTGGCTTTTTTCAACAATTCGGGGGGGGTCAGGGTTTTATCTTTTACTGAGGCCACTGCCATGGCCTTGGTACTTTTCATCGGCTTGGTAAGCCTTGGTGTCTGCAAAATGGGTAAAAGCTGCACTAATCGCCGGATCGCATCTTTTACTGGGTGATTCACCACCTCTGGCTCCAAGGCTGACAAAGCTAAGGTGCACTCTGTTGGTGGTTGTCGGCAAAACCTCCTCCACAGCAGTGTTGTCATGACTTCTGCATTTGGCGTGTGAGTCCAAACCATTGCACAAATGATATTACCATAACTGGCTGCAGTGGCTTAGAGCGCAGCAGAAAACAAAGTAACATTTTCATCACCTTTTGCGAACTGATTTAACTGGAGCTCAGGGCACAGACCCATGTTTGCAGCATTGGCTCTATTCACTGAAATCGTAAATGCCCCTTCACTATACATTTGTACTAGCCAGTTTATTACTGGCTCTCTTGGCTTGGACTTTTGCTACTTTTGAATATTTTAAATCTCTGCACAGGTAAATGAATGCAGCTCTGTTCGGGGATTTTCTTGCAGCCTTGAATGAGTTATTACCATCGGAAAAAACTTGGGTGAGTTTCTCCCTGAGGGTGGGGAAGCCCTGGCTAGGTTCCCCGCTCTGGGCAGGAACATACAGGGGTATTTCAGCACCAGGCTTGTTATAAATCTCCTCCTTTCCATTAATCTCCTCCCTTTGATTTTCCCAGAGTTTAACTTTTGGTTTATCTCTACACAGACACTTGTGGGAGGATGGCTCCACAGCCTATGTTAACTGCACTTTCTTCTGGAGGGGAGCAGCCATATGTGGGATTATGATTTTTTTTCTTTTGTGTTAATGTTTCCAAGCAGCTCTGCGTAGCTCACACAGCCTTGCATGCCACGTTGTTGGAATTTCTCACATTTTTTAACTCCTTACTCAGCCGGGTGACCTCTTCCCGGAGCTGGGCATTATCTTTGGACCCTAACCGCAGGCATGTGACCAGCAGCCATGACAGGCACCCCTTCTCAGGCTTACCCCGGGCAGCAGTAGCAAACCTAACCCAATGATTGGGTACAGTTCCCGGGTCACTCCAGGCAGGTCTCAACCTATCCTTATCCCACCCAGGATTCTTCATCCTTATCACCTTTTTAAGCAAAGCCACCAATGGGACCCACACAACTGCCGTCATTCCGACCTTTATCTCCAGACCAGAGCCTCTCAATCCTGTTTGTGATTTCAATTTATGTCCCAGCCACCTGCAGAGGGTTCGGGATTGAGAGTATGGTTGGGGGTAGAAAGGTAAGAAAGATTTATTGACTTAACAAAAACACAACTACACGTAGTAACAAAACAAACAATGACAGACAAAAGCAATTCATGTTGGCAACTTATTGGCAGTCCCCTCTGATGCCTGATACACAGCAAGCTTTTCTTTTCACAAAGTTCAGCGAAGTCAGGCATCCCCGAACAGCGCTGTCTGAAGGGTACCGGGAAGGACCCTGGAATGCAGTCCTTGGGCTTCTTGAGGTCCACGGGCCCACTGATCCAGGCAACAGCTAACTAATTCTTTTCAAAGAGCTGTATCTTCCTTCTGAATGGTTTTTAGATATTTTAGCCAATTTAAAGCTTTTGAATGGTTTTGATAACGTACAACTACTTAGATTCCTTTTACTTTAACTGTTTTTACACTGACTAATAACAGTACAAGCCTTGCATTTCTTTGATAAGGTAATTTTAAATATGCCACAGGGCCTTACTACTTTAAGGCTTTGCTAAATTTACTAGGCCTTACTTTATACAAGGCCTTACTACATTTTAAACTTTAATTAGACTTTTAGCAACAACATATAGCTTAATATTTAAAGAAATACAGAAAAACACTTGGTATAATCTTCATAGAGCCTTCAGCAAGCACCTTTATCACACAGGCACACTTTTTAGCTGTTACATGCCTTGCTGCTGTGCTCACTCCTATTTAAGCCATGCCAGCTCTGCCGTGCCTCTTTGCCCAGCTCCACTCCCCCAGGTAACTGCTAGTTACCTCCCTGCCACAGCAGCTGCACTCTGCTGCAGCCCAGATCTATATCGCCTTTTGGGCAGCCCCTGCAGGTGCTGCTCCCCTGACAGCTGGCATATTCACTGTACAAGCCTTGCATTTAAATTGATCTAATCAAGATTAGTTCACTCTAAACCTGTAGGCCTTGACATAGCTTAGGTTGGGTTAAGGGAACCCCAAGACTCAGGCACAGCCCCACAGACCTGAAGCCCAGTACTCTGATACTGGGCTATAAACCTCCATGGACTGAGTGTCCTGTGCAGACTATTCCTATCTCCAGAACCCACAAGCAGCCAACTGTGGGGAAAACCCCTAAAGCATGAAGCCTGTCCATGGATAGAGGGAGGTGGTCTTATGGTTCCACCCTGTCCACATAAAACACATGGCTCAGGATACTAATTGCTTGATTTAGCAGTCAGCACTGGACACATCATGTGCCCCTCCCTTCCTTTCCTTAGATCAGAGGCACCCAGCCCATAGCCTTGGGCATTTTGTGCCTCATCATCAGTCAGCATCTGGGAACATAAATCTGTCTTGGTCAGGCTGCCCTTATCTCTATCAGGGCCACCCTAAACTGCTGAGAATAGCTGATAACTCCTCTCCCCGACCCCAAACACTGGAATGAAACCAGACTCAACCAGCCTCCCACAACACTGGGGCAGGAGCTGTAGCATTCATCCCTTCAAACTCAGCAAGAGTCATAAGCAACCCGCTTATGTCAGGATTCAATGTCCCATCCTACCCCACAGTGCCATGGGGCTGATAGGACATTTGTGTTGAAGACAAATTGAAATACATCAGAGACCAAAAAGGTTTTTACCCTCTCCCATCCTTCCTCATTCTCTAAAATAGGCATAGTGAGAAGACAGGAGTCCTTCAAAGAAACAATAAGTAAAGCCAGTCTGGTCCAGAAGCCAAGGTCAGTCTAAGGTTGAGCAATTCTGCATCTGACACCCCTACTCCCATGCCCCCATTATGTTCCTAGAAAGTGCATCCCTTCCTCACCACAGC